TGTTACTATTTGGTTCACAAATTGTTTTGAAAGGAATTGGAATTAATGAAGGAAATATGAATTCAATGCATTTGGAAGTTGAAGGAGTTGAAATACTATAGTGTGTTAGGTTGAAAAAGGCGAATAGAAATTCAGTTAGAGTAATTTCTTCATTTGTTGCAAAACATAAAAAATTCATGTGAATTAACATCTTGAAGAAACGGATATTGATACAGTAAAAAAAAAAAAACACTCCATTCAATTTTAATAATTGAATATGAAAGAAACAGTAAATTAGCAAAGTACCTTAATATCCCAAACGCATAAAAACATGTTCATCTTGTGTTGTGTCTTCGCTGTTGTAAAAAATTAAAAAGAAAGAAAGAAAGATGCTTCTTTATTTTAATAAAAGTTTCCAAAAGTTTTCTTTCTTTTACAAATATGTGTATCGACAAAAGTGAATAATTGTATATTCCTTCTAATCTAATTTCAAGGAAAGAAAAGCATTGTTGAATGTCGATAATGGGAATATTCTTCGTTTTCTTTTCAAGATCTTTTACATCGAGATAATGAATTTAAAAAACATTTCAGTATGAGTAAACAACCCGATTCGTCTTTTATCGTTCCACCATGCGTAAAACAACAAAAATGAAGGAAAAAACGGAAGTTCTTGTTCTTCACAATCAATCTAATCAAAAACATTAATTTGCACAATCAAAACAGATGCAATATTTGTTGTTTAACAACCTTTACAGATTAATTTACATACATAGCTAATACATGTCACATTCTCTATATTCTTACAAAATCACCAGTCAAAAACATTCACCTCCTTTCTGTTTTACAAATCCATTGATGGTATCTGAACGGAAGCCGATTGGATGAGCTTCTGAGCAGCCGAAAGCTGTTCCATTAACGTCATCAGGCGTTCTCTGTACGCACAAGCTTGATCCATGGCCTCGGCTTCAAGCTCCCCAAGCTGCGAACAAAGATGTTCCTCGGCTTCCTCCGCCACGCGCAGCCTCTCCCATGTCTTCTGCAACTCCGTTTTCATCTTCTCTTCTCTTTCCAGACTCCTCTTCAACTCTCTCTCCAATTCCTCGTTCCTCCTCCTCAACAACTCCTCTTGGGCCACCATTTTCGTCGGTCGGTGGTTTTTCACCGACGGATCGGCCATGGTTGGGGCCATTATTTTTGGTTAAAAGAGAGAAGGATTTTGCCTAATTAACTGAATCGGTTGAGGTGCGTTCTTTCCTTCATTGGGGTGTTTGTTTTTATAGGCTTGGATGTTGGAATGGTGGTGTCCAGGTTCAATGAACCTTTTCCATTTACACACATATCTTGATGCTTTTGTTAAATTACCTATATACCCCTATATTTTCATATTCTATCGCTTTTATGTGGCTAGAAACTCGTTTAGTTATACGACCCGTATAATTATTTGATAATAGAGTTTCTGTCAACATTAAGGGTTGAACTATACATGTAATAAGTTTCTGATAGTTTATACTTTATATCATACTTAAATTTAAACAAAAAAAACAAAAAAACAAAAAACCTTTGAACTACAAGAAAAAAATTGTTTGTAAATATAAACTTAAAATATTTGTTTTATAAGAAAAATTCATAATACAAAATTTCAAAAGTTTATAAGTATTTTTATCAAACGGTTTTATATAAATAAAAGTTGCAGCTCTTTGATTGTAGCTTTCATGCACTAACAACTACAAACTAGTTTCATAAACATACACAAAAACAAATGAAAAAAAAAATAAGGATTGAAATATATAAACACCATCACTTGACTTTATAGCTTTTATGAATGATCAGTTATTTTAGTGTCGACTTTCACATTTAACTTTTTTTTTTTTAAAAAAAAAAAACAAATGTCCGTCCTTCAATATACTTCATTCCATTAGCAATTGCTACCTTTATATTAAATGATTACAAGATATCATTATACCAACACATAAACATTATACAAGCAATACAATAATCTACCTAGAATTAAATCTATTATAATTTCTATGGTCACCAGTACTTAATAAAGTGTGCTCGTAACCTTATCAAGTGAAGAAATAACCACACAAAGACCATGTTACAACTTGATACTAAGCACAAATGTGATCACGCATAGAATATCTAAATGGTCCACAGAATGGATATATTGACCCACATATACCCTCTTCTATTTTCTTCAAAATGTTACAGATTAGATGATGTGAATATTAACTTAAAAAATATTTATTGGGTGCATGTTAAAATGTTTGCATTCGGTTAAAAGGTTAATCATATTTTAATCTCTTTGTTAACTATAGTTGTTTTTTTAATTATGAGAACGACCATTATCATAGACAAAAGATCTCTATGCATTTATATACATACTGAATATTTAAATTTTTGGATGTTACACTTCTCAAAAGGGAAAAAGAAAGGGCATGAAAGCGATTTTTTATGGTAACCTAGATGAAGCAATTGCAGACCTCATTGAGGCAACACAACTTAGTCCCACTGTTTCTATTGGTGAGTCTTTTTTATATCTTTTTGGACAGTGGAGTTGGTGACAGTAATAACAACGTGTTCTCTGCCTGATTCCACCGCCAGTTTAACCAATAACAATGAGATTAGTGTGAGTATCCACCGCTTCGTTCCTTGGAATTATACCAACCCTTTACTGATCTTTTTTAATCTTCTTTCTCTCTTCCGATCAAAAATCCCTAAAATCACCCCAGTTCTATCTCATCTTCGTATCTACATATAAGATGGTTCTTCATTCCTTGGAAAGCTTGTGTGTTTGATTCCTTACACCATCGCTATTACCGTCGAATACGTCCCTCGATACCTAGTTCTCACCTTCTGCTCTGCCCCTTCCTCCACTGCTTTTGTTCGGCTAAATCAGACCTCCGTCTGGTCGTCTTCGGTGAAGTCGGCAACTCGATCCCTGATAACGTCGATAAAGCAATCAAAGAGTTTGCTGAAATGTTCTAAGGGTTGACTGGTAATTCCTTCGACCCATGGGAACGAGAGAAAAGAAGATTCAGAAAAAACCGCAAAAGTTTTACCCGATTGACATCAACGATGGTTATTGAAATGCCTTAAGTTTCAAGATTTTTTTTTTCATTTTTAATTCACCAATCATTACTCATAAATTCAAGTTATCACATAAATTATAAGTTGTTATCAAAACAATATCAAAGTATCCCAAAATCCACAAGATCTCATAAGCCGGCGAATGTGTACAATCAGGCCTCCTCCTTCCCGGAATCTATAGAAGTACCCGAAACACATTTAAATCAACACGGTAAGCACGAAGCTTAGTGAGTTCCCCAAAATACCACATACACAAATAATTAGCCTCTCATCGCTATATCTCGATAAGGACCCTCCGGTCATGTGTCTCTGTGAAGACCCTCCGGTCTCACGTCTTGGTATGGACCCTCTGGTCATAACAGAATAATATAACAATATAAGTCACAAAGACATAATGCATAATAACACATATCTCAGTATAAGCAAATAAGACCATCCAGTCAATAACATGAATAAGACCCTCCGGTCAATAACACGAATAAGACCCTTCGGTCACACAAAAATTACCACACAGGTAAGTATAATGAGAAGACTCACCTCGGATGATGAACAAATCCTACAACTGCTACTGTTGCACACCGACCCCTAACATTGAGCTAAACCCATAATTAAACTCAATTAGGATCTAAGACCAATCCCCCTTACATTAAGTGTAAAGATGGTCCGCTAATCCGACCCATAAATAACCCAAGCCCATTGGGCCCACCAAGGCCCAACCCTAAACTTAAGTCCAAAATGGCAAGCCCAACACAAGGGTCCAAGACATATATATTTCTCTGACCAAAAATCCCCAATACAGCAAGCCCAAAACCAAGACCCAAACACTTAAGGCCCAAAACGAGATCTAGCCCAAAAAGCCCACAGCGAGATTACACAGGGCGTACCTCCCTTGGTATGCTCAACGTACATGCAAATCCTGACCGAGGAACTTAATTCAGTACACAAGGCATACTGCACCTTACGTGGGGCATACTGCTCTTGTCCAAAAACTCAATTTTCGACTTAACCACTTCAGCCCAAAGCATTTAAACCTCAGGGAAGCTTCATTACAAGCCCCTAACTGATAAAGTTGGCGACTTTATCAGTTTGCATGCCTCAATGGGACTCAACTTCCAAAAATAACCATTAAGACTCATATTAAGCACCTTAACACATGCATGGATGACTCTTAACCCTAAATATGCAAAATTTAAGGATCTTGAACCTCTGAAATGCCAAGAGTGGCAACTCAAAGCTCTTGAATTGATAATAACCACTAGATCCCACCCATGAGATCTAAAAGAGGAAAATTATTACAAAATCATAGATCTAGACTTCTAAAGAGAAAGTTCAGATCTTTATACCTCAAATAAGCTGAGAATGGAGTGGATAGTCTGGATCTAAAAGCCTTCCCTTGGACTCAAACTTGCACCAATCACCTTCTTCAAGAACATGCACCAAAATTCACCTAAAAGCACAAAAAATTAGCTCACAACACTCTTGGGAGGGTTAGGGTTTTCGAGAATGGGTCTCAAGGACTTTGAAGGCTAAGAATGAAAGAGCCTTGAGCTCATAAAGATGTTTAAATAGTGCCCAAACCCTAAAAATTAGGGTTTGGCACTCTGCTCATTACGTTGGGCGTACCCCCAGCCTACGTCGGGGATACACACCCTAGACACGTGCCCTTCACCATGCATGCCTGGGACTTACTTGCAAACCTTTTTCATAAAGCACTAAATCTACAAATTATTCCAAATTGCCATAACTTCCTCATATTAGGTCCGTTTCCAATGAACCTGTAACATCCCAAAAGTACAAGCCAAAATTTTCGTTTTAATTTAATAATAAAAAACCATAAACATCATACGTTATAGAAAAATCATAAACAACATATCTAAGAATACTATAACAACTGTCATGTATATCAGAGTATAAACATCCCGAGCTGAACAAATGGTGTGTGCACTGCAATCTTCCCGAGCTCCTCTTTTGAAAACCGAGTACCTAAAACCAAAACTGAAAACTGTAAGCACGAAGTTTAGTGAGTCTCCCCAAACTACCACATACCATACACATAAACACATAACTTGGGCGTAGTCCACTGCATCGGGCCCTGCCCGACATCGTACCGTAATCTGGTACACATATAAACATATCCACAATGCATATAACATAAACACATAACATAAATCTAACTCTAGGACTACTCCCAACTGCATCGGGACGAATCCTGGCATCGGCTTACCCGGTATCGGACTCCTGCCCGACATCGGGCTCAACCCAGCATCCGACCGCATCGGGCATCGGGCTCACCCCGAAATCGGGCTTGCCCCGACATCGGGCTTACCCTGGCACATACACGACATAGCATATTTTTCATAACATAATCACATAATCTGCATAGGGCTTGCCCCGACATCGGACCGAAGCCCGAAACATATAACATGTAACATATAAACTAACATACATCGGGTTTGCTCCGAAACACATAACACATGGCATAATAACTAACATACATCGGGCTTGCCCCGAAACACATAACACACAACATGTAAATTAACATACATCGGGGTTGCCCCGACATCGGACCGAAGTCCGAAACACATAGCACATATCTTATAACCTGCATGAATCACAAAGACATCACGCATACTTAACTACTTCTCGGGACCGCCCCGGCATCGGACCGAAGTCCGGAAACATATAAACTGCATCAGGCTTACCCCCGGCATACTACAACTACTTAAATGGGCCGGCATTGTGGCCTTTGACCCGTTCCTACTGGAAGAGGACTCACCTCACACTGCTAAAGTCCCGCAGACAAAACCATAGCTCCTGGATGATAGATTCCCGGTCTGTCAATATCAAAATAACACCCAATTAATAATTGGGTTCCAACTCATAACCATGAGTCCATGCTTGGAGTAAAAGACTACTTTACCCCTATCTTAGCCTGACTCAAGCCCAAGGCCCTATCCAAAGGCCCAAAAGTCTAATAATGGACTAAGGCTCAACTATGGCCCATCTATGGCCCAATTTTCCCAATTGGGCCCAAGTCTCTACGTGGTCTTGATCAAAGGCCTAATCATTCATTCTTCGTCCAACACT